ATGTCCCCAATTTTAACACAGTCATGACTCCCTGGGGTGGTGTGAGAGCTTGCTGAAGCCACACTTTGCACTGTGCTGACTGCTGCCCACCCTTTTGTGTGCTTGAACTGGCTTGGAAACATTGCTGTTTCCATAGCTGGGAGTTGGAGGGGGAAAAAAGTCCTTAACAGAAATCACTGCCAACATCAGACAGACCAATACTGGGAAGGGGCAATGAGGGCTGGGAAAATAAAGGTATGAAAGAAAATAATTTTAATACTTGGAAGAGAAATGGCAGGAGATGGGGATGCAACAGGCTGGATCCTGGGTGCAGGGGCTAAAATGTGCGAGTGCAGTTTTCGAAATCCTCATCTCTAAAGCCTGGTCTCCAAAGCTGGAAAGCTCCTAAATAAGCGTACTGCCAGAATATCCAGGAAGGTCATTTATCTTCAGTATCAGCAGCTTCCTTCCTTCTCCCTGGCACACAGTTAAGGACCGCGTTAGCAAACCCAGTATCCATCTGCTTGATTGAATATCTTCATTAGTGCGCCTGACAGGGTGTATCACAACCATATATTTCGATTTAGCAATTTGTTTCCACCGTGGTTGCCCGTTTTGATTAGCATTTAGCAACATACTTTTTCCTAGTGAAGATGACTTGAAATTATGTTGTATATGTGTCCTAAGCATTCGTCTGGGCACAAGCCCTGTCAGCGTAACTAACTGTTGCAGCAGAGCAGTGTCAAAATCAGCTTGAGAAGCCTGCCTCCAGCACAGGGAGGCAGGATAACAACGTTTTTCCATAAGAGAACCCTGTTAGTGAGGCCATGGAATTCTTTTTAAATGGTGCAAAAGTACATGTCCCATTAAGAACATCTCTATTCTCATGGTCTCTTTTCCCAAGGAAATCAAATGCCTGGGTCTCCTCGGGAGCCTCTGATGTGAGTATTATTTTTCCCTGTTTTTAAGTTAAAGGCCGTTTCATTGTTTCTGCCCTCCAAATTCTGCACTCACTAGTCCACCATAATTAACTACAGTGGAAACACCCTATGCCACCCAAACACCACATGGGCTGCAATCAGTAATGTCCCATGCCAGAGCAGGGAGAGGGGGAAGCTTTGCAGGAATACCCGACCCTTGTACCTCCCTGTATCATCTGCTTAGAGCTTGGCCTTGCCAGACGTCATTTTGCTAAATCCCCCAATGTTTTTCTTCCTGCAGGGAAACACAGCCGTGCACGTGGCTTTCCCAAGGCCCTGCAGCAAGTTAATGGTAAAATTTCCCTTGGGTAAGTGGTGATGGGTTGAAACACCAGTGGAGTTTAAGGAAGAAAGAGAGGTGATTCCCTTTAATGATAAGCTCCTTGAGGCAGGGAACAGTGTGCTGCCGTGTATATATAGTCCCTGTCACCATCAGGTGTAGGTATGATTCATATTGCTGTAAAAGAAGTTACTTGTTGTCATTATTATTATCTTTTGATATTTTGGCAGTATCCATTAAGAGACTCTTGCTTATCACTGAATATCACAAGGATGTCTCATTAAAAGCAATACCTTCTAGGCGCTACAGAAGGAGGTCTCCACACCATCTACTCCAGGCTAATTTTGGCGTCAATTCAGAAGACCCAGAGTCTGATCATTAAAGCCACAGAGCTCAGTAGAAAGGCTGTGATGGGGGCATCAGTCCTCCCCAGGTCTTGGATCAGCAGCTCTGCATTGCCATCTTCAGGCTGGGAGCAGCCTTGCTCCTTCCAGAAATCCTAGAAACCTCTCAGATGTAGCAAACTGAATTCTGGCTTACCCAGCATTAGTTGAAATTGGTGGCCTAATCATGGAAAAAGGTGTTAAATACAAAGAAGGGCAAGGAGCTCTGCAAGGCTGGTACTCAGCTGCCCTAGATAACACGGGTATTTCCCTCCCTGTAAGCATACAAGGCTTTAAAGAGAGTAAATTTAACACAAGCAATGCTGTTTAAAACATACTACTTCTTGTTGTGAGACAAAGTTTATTGGCAAGTTTTCTTTAAAGTACATAAACTGAAACTGCCTGAGTGATTTTAGCTTTGTAGCCTGCATGGTCTCCAAAAAAAGCCTTTTACTGCCAATGGCAAAAGCTCAGGTTCTTGTGAGATTTTAATGATAATATGTATTTTAAAAAATCTATGCCAAATGCTTCACAAGTATTTGATAAATAAGGTGGTGGGTTTGGAAGAGAGGAGGTTTCCAGGCTTCCAGGGTGATGGAACACATGTTGTGATGGACAATATCACACAGACAGCTTGGAGGGCCAAAGAGTTGTAATCACAGAACAGCCTAAAATAAATCAGAAATTCCTGGAATAATGTAGGCGTTCTGGCCCAGCAGAGCCAGCTTAAATGAGGTTGCTCAGACCTTGTCTCATCATCTTATGAACATCTCCCCACGATTCCCCCACCTCTCTGGTCACCAGACAGTGTTTGATCACCCTCATGGTGAAAAATATTCTCCTAATAAGATCTGGTTGGCAAATCCCTTTCTAGGAGCCCACAAAATCATAAAATCATAGAATGGTTTGGGTTGGAAGTGACCTTTGACGGTCATCTAGTTCAAGACCCCCGCAATGAGCAGGAACAAATGCTGCTACTCAGAAGAATATTCCAGCTCTTACCATTTTATCTCAGGTCTCGAGATAGTTTGTGCCAGATCTCACGACTGCTTATCCTTTCTCCTACTGCTTCAGTCCCTGAAATCCCACCATTACGCAAAGCTCTCAGTGCAAAAATGGGTAATCCTGGTACTTACCACGGCCACCTGTAGCACCACTCATTGGGCTGTGTCCATCACAATCCCTTTCCCAAAGGACAGCCCAGAGCACAGCCCCGCAGCAGGGATTTGAGACGACCGGTTCAGCCTCCTCAGGAAAATGCTGTAGCTGTCCTTGTATTCGGATACCCAGCGGTTCCTGCAGAGAACACGGAGGTAGGGATAAGAAGAGGACCTCCATCCTCTGCTTTGTGCATCAGGACAGGGGACCTGCCTCCCCTTCTGTGGTGGTTGACCACCCAGCCAGGGAATAGCACAGAGCAAACGAAAGCACATGCCAATGGCAGGGGGGAGACAGGGAACAGCCTGTCTCCATCAGGAGCAGCACAGATGCTGCAGCACACATGGCTGTCATTGGCACCAATCTCCCACCTAGATCAACCATTACACAGCCTCGGTCTCCAGCCTACACATAACTCCAGGACCGTAGATCAAAATCGAGACTTCAACGCAGAGCTGAAATACATGTGTGTGTTAGCGGGAGGTGGGGGGGATGAGGCAGCGGGGAGGAATTGCCTTTCCGGTGAGAAACGAGAGCTCAGGAGCAGTTTATGCCTGTTTGTTCATAGCGTGTGGATGAGTCACGTTGCAAACGGCTCCTGCCCTGTCTGATTTGAGAGAGCCCTTTCCCAGAGGAAGCCCGGGCGTGTAAATGTTGAGATGTGCCCCCCGTCCCTAGCCCCACAGAGACCTCGGCATCTTCTTTCCACAGCGACAAGGTTGTTCCAGGAGAAGTTTCCCCACTCCTATCAACACCACTGCAAAACTTTTCAAGAAAAAGCTGAGCAGGCCTTGAGAAAGGATTTGGCCCCAGGGGAATTCATTTGAGCTCATTGCATAACACGGACACGGAAAAATACGCTTGAGAAACATCTTCCAATCCCAACCAGCTCCAAAACCTCCCTGCCCTACTCTTACCCTGTCCCCACTCCCACCAGTCGCCTTCTCCCCCCAGCCCACCTCTCCCTTACTGGTTTAAGTGCTCATCTTCGGGGAAAATGTGAGAAAGGCTCTTATCTGCTCTACAGTATCCATCATGGGCTCCTGGCCAGCGCTGGAAATCTCTGTTGTAGGTACTTCTCCAGTCCAGGTCAAAGCACTCTAGTGAAAGACAGTCCAAATAATGAAAGACTTTTTTGGGTCTCTATCTCCTGTATCCCACAGTCTGAGTGTTCCCCCTTCTCCTGAGCTCCGTCGGCTGTTCACGCTTTCAGTGCTCCTGTTGGAGCTACCACAATCAGAGGTTTAGCCAAGGGAAAATGCAAGAAGTGCTTCCCTGGTGTAGATAAGGTCTTTTAGACTAGATTATTTGGCCCTTATTTTATATAGCCTTTTATGTATGATGGAAGTCACACAAGGCAGATCTGGAAATTATACCTTGTGCTCTTCCTTCTGGACATTGACTTGTCAGCTTGTATATATTTTCTCCTACTGTCCAGATTTTCTCTTTCATCCTGCCAGAGCAATGTGTCTCTGCTTTATTTAATCAGGGACTAAACCAGTGAAGAGATCCAGGGTCCACTTAACCCCCAAGTGAGGACCGTCACATCTGTTGTGCTATCTTTCCCCCAAAATCCCTGTAGGAGCTGGTTTGAAGGGGTGTTCCTATCCTGCTCTCCAGAGATGCCCCATCTGTATGTTAGCAGCCTGTGTGTGTGTCCTTCTGACTGAGCAGATCTGCCTGTGGAGAAACGTGCTGCCACCTCTCACAACAAAGCAGGGAGGACATGCAAAGAAGAGCCACCGATTGTAGACATTTCAGATTTTCTGTGTATTTTAAAAATAACACGTTCCTGTAATGAGCTGTTAGTGAAGTATTTTTGCTCTTTTCGCTGAGGCTTCAGATATTTCGCACATGCGTGGCCGTGTCAGGCTGTTAACGCAACCCGAGCAGTCGCATCAGCAGCAGCAGTTCCCATGCTGCCACGTTATTCCCAGGCCACATCGAGTAGGGCTGCGCTACACGGGGTGGCCCATATGGAAACTGGGATGAAAGAAACGTTATTTACAACGCTCCAACCTCTTCTGGAAGACAATTGTTTTTCTCTGCCCTGCTTCTCCACGCTGATAGGCAGATGGTTATGGGGGCTGTGCAGACCTTTCCCATGTCATTCACCTTCCCTTCACCTTCCTTAGTCTCTTCCTGAATTATGTAAAAAAAACCAAAGCCAGGCCACAAGTCACCCGCACAGGGCAGCTGCCACAACCTCCATCCACTGACCTTCCAACAAAGCAGACGAGCCCAGGATCGTGCTTCTGTTTTGCTGAGCATCATGCTGCCTTGCCCGGCACATCTCCTGGGTGAATTGCTGGTAGGTGGCCCAGCCTGGGGCCAGCTTCTGCTTGTGCAGCAACATCCCTGAGAGATGGGAGAAGAAAAGAGCACATTAGTTGGGAAGCACCATTAATTAACTCACCCAAATGCTACCCTTGGGTGGGAGCAGGAAAACAACAATGGCAAGTTGGAGCCTCAGCTGGCATAAATCAGGGCAGACCCATTCACTTCAGCAGAGCTTTGCTGAGGTGCATCAATTTTGCATTGATTTGTTTCATAAAGAAAAAAAAAGCTGTCTCCATGTTGCCCTGGTGTGCTAAAAGGAGCTGAGACCCTCTGCAGGAGATTCAGGTATGAAAGGGAAAGGCTTTGCAGGAAACACTGCACTGCTGGGCTGCACAGGGGCAGAGCAGGAAGGGAAAAGTCCACAGTGGTTTTGTCATTAGCACAAGGCAACTTCAGATGGGCTTGGTAAGGAGATGCTTGAAGCCCTCAGACGTTAAGTGGAGTCTAAATGGACTGTCCAAATGGAGACATGTCTGTCTGAGCTGCTTGTCCAAACTCTCCTTCTAGTGAGTGGAGAGAGAGAAAACCTGCCAGGGCTTAATTCATCTCATCCTCAAAGTGGCACTTAAGCTACAGGAGATGGCTTTGTCTTTTCTCCCAACTGATCATGAAAGGATCCAGATGCAGATGTCCTATGCTGGGAAAGGTGAGCTCAGGAAACAGAGAGGACATCCTTGCTCATTTCCTCCTGTTTGATTCTGGAGCATTGCTCAGCAATGCTGCACTCTTCTCCCTCACACAGGACCTCAGAGGAAGATCTCTGGCTACTTTGGCCATGGCTGGGTGATGTCTGGTGACCATTGATTTTGTTTTCCTGATTTCCGTTAGCATTTTAATCCATGCAAGCAAACGGTTAAATGGTGTGACTGAGGGCTGGCCACCAGCCCCTTTGCTGCATTTGCTGCCAGAGATGCCTAGCAGAGGGCCACCAAGTGCTGCTGGTTTGAACCATCCAAGTCCCTCATGCTTAGACAGAGTCCTTTTGCCTCTCTGTGCTTCTGTTTGCCAAGTTAACTGCATGTCCCTCTATCCCAAAAGAGCTGTGAAGATAAAACCCCTAGAGAGACTGCAGTACTGACGCCTTGCTAGTAGGGACTCTTCATGCATCAAACATGGTTCTGCAAACGTTTTTAAGACTCCAGCTCACTATGTCTGCATTTTGAGCTGGCCTGGGAGCTGCATATTAATTGTAACGGGTGCTGTGCCCTCACTGTCAATCCTCCCTGGGCGCAGCCCAGCACTGACGCTTTGTTGGGATGCTGCCATCTGCGCGTGTCCAGCCAGCGTGGACCATGGGTAGGGGGAGCTCAGCTGGCGAAGGCCCAGGCAGACAGCCCCTCGGGTAGCTGGATGTGGCCAGTCAGCTGTTCGCTGGCGCCGGCGCAGGGGGTTACCTGCTGTTCCAGCAGTCTGAGCAGCAGCTGGAAGATGCTGGCAATAAGACAGCTCGTTCTCTGGCTCAGCAAGAGCCTGCGGCCTCTCCGATGTCTCTGCTGGGATTGCTGCCAGTTCGGTGGCAGGGTAGTACGTTGGCAGGTAGCTTTCTGCAACGGGAAGGGCTGAAGTAAAGTGCTTTCTCTGCTGCAAGGTTTTGGGGCCGGAGGTGCTGCCTTCTGGTTTTCTCCCTCCTGCGACATCAGCGCAACTGCTGGCTTTGATGCTCGGTGCTGGGATGACTTCTCTCCCCTGCCAGACAACGTCACTGTAGGTCATTGCCCGCTCCTCCTGGGGCACAGCAAACTCCTTGGCTTTTAGCTGGGAGTCTGCAATCTGCAGCTTCTGCAGAAAGAAGTCCCATGTGAATGGAGATGCAGCAAGGAGGAAGAACAGTTGCTAAAGCATCGACAATCTAGGGCTCGATCTTACAGTTGGACTTAATGGCCTTAAAAGTCTTTTCCAACCTAAATGACTCTGTGATTCTATGATTCTATAAGCAACATTACCTGCCCATTGGACAACCCAGGCTTTGGGAGGGTCAACACCCCTGGGGACTCAGTGGTCACAAAGCAGCTCCACAACATCATTAAAAATGCACAGACCGTCATGGCTTCCTCTTTCTGCCCATCTTATGGCTTGGGACCCTGCTGGGCCCCAGGTGGACAGTAGGATGGAGGGACCGAGCCCCGGCACAAGCAGCGGTTTGCTGGTGGGAGAGGGAATGGCTCCAGGGTTCATGTTGGGGAAAGGCTACTGTGGCTACTGGAATGGCTGCTCTGGGGGTCTTCTAGCTCCAGCCTCTTTAGCTGGGTGCACACTACAGCTGCATCATGAGCCAGTTGTTCCTTTCTAGGGGCTCAGTAGGAGACTGCTCTGCCAGGCTGCTGGGGCCAGCAAAGACCATCCTCATGGTGTTTGTCCATCAGTGTTTTGGATCTCCAGGGGTTTCTGTTTGTCCCTCAACGTCCAAGCTTCCCAGGGCTCTCCCCAAGGTGTCTTCTCCTTCACCATACTGACAGTAGGGCCGGATGGAGGCTGCAGGGCTACAGGAACTACCTGTATCTGGGGGCTTCTTCCACCAAGGATGGCCAGAGCTCCTCAGAAGGCATCTCCAGAGGGATAAGAGCCTTCAGGAGACCACGGTGCACAAGGATCACCAGACAGACTTTTCCACCTTAACCCAAGGAGCTCACCACTTTCCCCTTGGGAGCAGGCTACTGTCCAAAATTTCACAAAGAAAAAACCACCACAGTGCTTTTATCCTTGCAAAAAAAAAAAAAAAAACAACAAAAACAAACCAAAAAACCAACACTTGCAAAAAAAACCACCCCAAAAAACAACAAACAACCCTAGCAGTGCTAAGAGGGAAACCTGGGCCTCCCGAGTACCTCATCATCCCACTACCCAGGGGGGCAGCTGTCCTCTGCAGGCCTTGGGAGTCAATAAAGAGTCAAAGGGAACTGCAGCCCAAGGAAAGAAGACACATTTCAAGTGCTCCCTCCCTTCTCACCTCCCAAGCTACATCAGGAAGTGTGCAACCTTCCAAAAAAACAGAAAAAAAGGTTAAAAAAAACCCACCAAACCACCCAGAAAATAAAAAGAAGTTGAGATGCATGGCTTGGAAACTGAGCTCCAGCAGGCAGGGGTTAAACCCTGCCCTCCCAGCCAGGATCTTGGCTCCTGGAAGCAGAGCAGCCACCTAAGGCTGGGGCTGCCCAGGAAGGGCTCGACAGCCCCGGAGAACAGCGGGAGCCCCGAGCGGGACCGTTAATGAAGGCTGCTGGCAGCGGGAGCGCTCCTCCAGGGCAGGAGGAGGGGAGAGGGCAGGAGAGGAGAGGGCTCCCTAGGCTGCAGCCCAGGCGAGGATGGCAGCAGTGGCCACAGACAGCTCCTCTGCCCCAGCGGGCACCTTCACACAATGATTTCTCTGTTGTTGTCCCCCCCCTTTTTCCTCCCCAGCCTGAACTTTTTTTTTTTCCTCTCTCGTGAGCGTACGAGCCCAAAGCACTTTAGCAACCAAACATGCCCCCCGCCACTTCTCTGCAGTGGCCCAGTGCAAACCGCAGCTGTCCCCACCGGGCTGCCACAAGCAATTAAACCAGGGCAGGCGGAGCGAGGCAAATCAGATTAAATAGCTCGGGGGGTTGCTCGCACTGCAAGGAGATTAGAAAAAAAACAACCTCAGCTTGCCCACAGAAGTCTTCTCAGGCCCGTGTCAGGGCAAGGAGACATCTCCATCCCAAATGCAATCCCCCTCCTCGAGGCACTACCGGGATGGGTCTAATCCTGACGTGCTCCATCAGCCCCACAGGGAGCAATAGGAGTCCAAGGCTTAGGCACCAGTTCAGCAAGCAATCGTTAGTGCCCTGACTTAATGAGCGTAATTAGCATCGCCCGCCCCAAACAGCTTTATTGGAGGGCTCCAGGGGGATTTCCCGCAAAAGGGATGGGGACGCAAGCCAAGGGCATTTGAGTGTGATGCGACCTGCTGGTGGGTCACAGTGGTGGGGACCAAAGCAGACCCTGCTGGTGCAGACGGCACCCACGTCTCCTGCCCCCTCGGCACCCACCCCGTCCCCAGCTGTCCTGTAGCCGTCAAAAGGGAGCTGGCACCATGGGCTAAAAAGCCAAGCAAGGAGAATCCCACGGTACCTGCATGTTCTCCTCGCTGGGTGGCTGGTAATCCTCGCACCACTGGTAGTCTCTCTTGTACAAACTCCTGTACATGCCCGGTGACACAGGTGGCTGAAATGAGACAGGGCAAACACAAGGAGCTGCTAGAACTTGGGGGAAGCCTTCAAAAGTGGTGATACAAACCCAAAATGCTCCCTCACAGCCCAGGAGAGGATAAGCTGCTCTTCTGAGCACAGACTCTGTCCCAGCCTCAGGGACAGCCCCATCTGGGGCCAGTCCAACCCCTTGAGCAGCTGAGCCCCGAGCAGGGTGGCCAGGAAGGTCCTACCCTCTTTTGGCAATGATCTCTGGGGCTCTTCTTGTTCCAGGGTGTCCCTTGCAACAAACACCTTCCTCCTGCCTTTCTCAAGCCTCCTCTGAATGCTCAGATGCCCCCAGGCAGAGCACTAATATACAGCTGTTGAAATACTTTGATCAGCTGCTGAGGTCCAGTGTCACTCAGGTTAAATCAGCATGTGCTTCCATCTTGTATTTCAGTAATATTTCCCACGTGCTTATCACATATTTAAAGTTAAATGCTAGCTAATGTCAATACTCGTTCTTCAAAGCGATTGGAGAAATTATAGAGGAAAACTCTGCCAAGGGATATTAAGCCAGTGAAACCTGCCCTAACACCAAAAATCATCGCAGTGCAAACTGATGGAGACAGGGAAAGGATTTTAGGGAAGAAGGATTATGTGCCTGTCTTGTTTCCTGTGCTCCTCTCTCGGCATCCACCACGGGCCATGCTAGAGTCAGGAAATCGGGTGAGATGAGCCTTCAGGCTGAGCTGAGAGCCGTTTTTATGCTAAAGCATTAAATGTGCTAACTTGTCAATGCATGGCAGAGGACTGGGGGAGATGAGATCCTGTGCAGTAATTGAAGGTGTCACTGCGATCTCAACTGCTGCATGAACATGTCCACCACACAGAGGTGGCTTGGCCGGACAAGGCACAGGTCTACACTGCCATGCCTCATGTGACAAAAAGGAACCAATAACTGCACTAGCACACAGCACCTTAGGGAGGGCTCCTCATGCCTTGCCAAAAATGTCATCTATTATGGGCAAGAATATATTTTACAGTCTCATTCCTTTTTTCTAACAGTTCATTCTTTTTGCCCTCTGGACTTCCCAGACCAGTGACAGCCTTTGGCCAGAAGCTTGTTGTCACCAGCTCCTATTATCTTCCCAGCCTGTCAGACCCTGCAAACCCCTTACTCAAACACCAGTGAGGATGAAAGTCCCATGTGTACTTCACCTTCGAGTGCCCTGTTTTACTCATTGTGTCCACCATGGTGAGCCAGGAACCTGGACCAGAAAAGTCACTCAATTAACCACCAGCAAACCAGATCCTCTCCTCTGCACTGCCCCAGGGAAGAGATGGCAGCACCCCACCACCAGCAGACCCAGAGTCAGCCAGGGGGGTGAACATGGGTGTCCCCTCCTGAGACAGTGCACGTGTGCAGTGGGATCCACCAGCATGTGTGTGGCCACAGCGTCTTCAGGGACAGGGAAACTTCTGTCCCTTTGTGAGACACCTGCACTCCAGAACCCTGGAGGCCTTGGTGGGAGGGGGTTCCCCACGAAGGTGTGAGGTGAGGGCTTCTTGGAGGAGATGCCACCCCACAGTCATAGCTGGGGAGCTGCTACTTGTTCTTTCAGCTGCAGCCAGCCATGCTGGGGACATATAGCCAGGAGAGGGACCAAGCCTGCCCTTTGTGAGCTCTCAAAGCCTCCTCAGCTACTGCTGAAGATAAAGATAGGAGCAAAAGACGGAGAAACGGGAGGAAAGACCCCACTTTGTGGGTGTGTTGTGGGGAGCATAAGAAAACAGCATCCTCAGCTCACTGCATTGAGAGGTGGGAAACATTGCAGAAGTAAGGCAGGCAGGGATCTCTGCTTGGTCTTGTAGGGTGGCCAAGTACACCTGAACTGTCCCACCCAGATGTTGCAGCCCCCTTCCTCTGATGACCTGCAACATAAGAAAGCAGAGGATGCTTAGATTTAGGTTTCTGTCCCATGAATGGACAGGAACAGCAAACTAGCAAAGAGTATTCACTCTTTAAAAAATGTCATGCATTAATCAGGTTTGGATCCACCTCATACAAGACTAATCTCACCTAATTTTAGATGTTCACAAAGAGGACATCTCCCTCTGAGCTGATCCTTCCTGGCTTATTCAGCCCAATTCATGTGACCAATGTAGGTACATACTTGGGGATGAAATAAACTGCTTTCTCAGAAAGCCTGGGTTCAGTCAGTTGAATCTCATCCAAGAGTCCAATTTCTGGAGCTACACATGAGCCTGGATATCTGTTCAGAAATGAGATTCTCTGGCATTACAGTAGTGCTAATAGCAGTAAATGCCGGTGATGACGCATGAGTCAGAAAGATGACATCTCGGCTCCAGAATCCTTCACAGAGGAGAGTCGGTCGCAGACCTGGGTTCACAGGCACTGTCGGAATGAGCTGAATTTCTAGAGTTATTTCTCTTTGCACCCTGTTACGCACCAGTCTGTAACTGGAGTCCAAGGATGCTAATGCTCTGGCAAGGGTCGTGTGCTGCTAACACCTCAGCACTGGAGTCAGGCAGAAAGAGAAGCCCTTTGTCCCCACTGTATTTTACGCAAATTAATATTAGAATAAATGATGCAACGAGGAAAGAAATTGTTTCCAGAAATGTGAAACTCTCGTGTTCTTCTGTGCTTATATTAAAGGGATTACACTCCATTTCCTTCTTAATACAGCTAATGCTCTATGGGAAGCCCTCAGGCCAGGGATTAAAGCACTTATTCAATTAATTAAGAACAAACTTCTGCCTTAAAGTCAAACACACAAATATCAGTAAGCCCTTGAGAGCGTCTTCCTTCCAGGGCAAGGAAAATGGATCCTATTTCTGAAGTAAATGAAACTGAGCCTGCACTCTAAAATTATTAGGAATAATATAAATTAGGAAGATTCATTTTTAAAATATCAGTGTTCTGTAAAGCAGCACAGTAAAGGAGGGACACTGCCATCATCTTGAACTCAGCATCTGAACTCACATCAGTTACAGGAGGGGGCAGAATCAGGTCGTGCAAGACTAATATAAATGAGATACAATTTTAGGATGTAACATTGGTAACTAGCTCCAAGCTGCCGGCACACCAGTGTTTGGATATATTTGAAGTTAGAGGTGAAATCCTGGCCCTGCTAAACTCAAAAAACAAAATGCTTATTCAGTTGGATCTGAATTTCACCTAAGGTGTCTGATTCATTACTGAGATAGGAGACAATTTCCAAAACCTGGCTCCAAATTCTAATCTTCCTTGATGATGGCTTGATCCTTCCGTCTTCTCGCAGGCACAGCCCACATGAAATTAAAAGGCATTTTGCCAGGATAGTTCGTGCAGGAGCAGCCCATTATTGCTGTTCAGCTTCCCATTTCTTCTTCCCAAACACCAAACTACGGGGCTGACAATTACCAACGTAATCCCAATTAGCAGTGAGTAAGAAGCAAACTCCCAGCTCTTATCTTCCTCTACCTCCAAGAGAGCTTATCTGCCTCCTCAATGCTAATTCAGATATGGAGAAAAAGTGAAACAGCCACATGCCTTTTCTTTAAGTTATTTTATACAGAAGAACTTTTTTTAACTTCCTTCACAGACACTTGTGCGCTGCAGTGTCATTACCTCTCCTGTAATGCTGATTCCCTGCAACAGTCCCAGATTTCTCTGAGCCTCCCAATATAAGGAAAGTCAGCAGAAGGACGTTCCTGCATGTCAGATGCCTCCCCTGGCATTCACACACACAGTGCTCAGTGTGAGCTGCACATGAGAAGCACCAGGAGGGAGACATCCAACTGGAGTGAATGGAAATATTGTGTTGACTTCAAACAAGCTGTAATCACCCTTTCCCTATGGCATTAACCACTGTGAGATCATTCAAACTCTGCTGGGCTACACAAAGCAGCACCAAGCACTTCAATGTTACCTGTGAATCACAGCCACGGGGTTGCTTTGTCATTTTTTTTGACCAGGCAGCTTTTCCTATGCCTTTTCCTCCCCACCTTCCCCCAACTAAATACTTTCTCTGTGGTTTTTCTGAAGTTTCCCTGCCCTAGGAGTTCACTGAAGAGAGTTCACTGTACTCTGCGTGGGTCCTGCCTGTGCAGCTGACTGTACACCTCAAAGAGAAAAGCTGATGCTGAAGACCAGCATGGCGTTATAAACATCTGCAGGTGAAAATTGCTTTTAAATAATTGGTTTATTTTCACAATTCTCCAGAAAGGTGATGGCTGAGATTTCCAGGGTCAGGAGCCTAAACCAGGTACCTGAATGCACGTGCCCGTGTTTCCCAAGGCAATAATTACCCTCAAACATCCAGGGACATTTTCAGAGGGTGCTGGTGCTTTTGACCCCTCCACATCATGCTGCATGCATGGATATAAGGGAATTCCAACAAGCCAGCCTGGACCGGATTCTCAAAGGCAGGCAATTATGTGTTTTAACAGCACCTTGGCAGAATTTTCTAATGAGCCCAATGTGTGACAGCTGAGTTCAGGCCCTTTCAAATCAGATGGGAAGACTTTAAATTAAAGTCAAGGACTTTAATTATAATTCAAAATATCGAAATTTGTGTACCTGATCTGTGCAGCTCCTTTCTGACATTCTGCTGGATGTTTCCCCGTGCTTAGAGATACCTATGTGCCTCTAGAAAATCAGTCTCATAGCCTCAGTAACATACAGAGATTAATTTCACCTCAATTTGGCCCTGCCTTCCCCTATTTGCTGGGGTTTTTTTCTTGTTGTGAAATGGCAACGGTGCTATCTAATCCTGTATGGCTCTTGTGCAAGGTTCTGTGCACTGGGTACCAGCAGGGTTCAGGTGAACCATCTCAGCTATTAACAATTCAGTGCAAGAAAACATGGCCAAGAAGGACATACCTCCCTGTCAACCCAGCTCTTGACAAGCGGTCTTTGGGCTAGGAATAAGATTCATTGCCCCCATGAGGATGTTGAAAGAGGGAAGCGATTGGTAAGCAGGACCCCCATCACGTGAAAGAGGCAGGGTGTAATCTGTGAATCTCCATTCACGTTATCACCATGAGGAGACAAAGCGCAAAGGGGAGACTCGTCTTCAAGGGACGAGTGTTGACAGCCCATTCTGTCAGCATAAGGTCAGTCATCCACTTGGGTCTAAAAACATGAACTTTCGTGGCAGTGCAGCAGTCCATCATGGGAAGGTTTCCCATGGAGTTATTTATTTTTCGCTTCTCTCCAGTTTTCTTGATAAATTGGTGGGGGCATTTATGGCACCTTGTGGTCAGAAATAAGCAGCATCCTTCAGGCTAAATCTGAGGCACCTGTAGCTCTCTTCCAGCCACCTAAATCAGTTACAGGACTGAGCCCTCAAAGTCAAACTCTTTGTCACACAGACACTCCTCTCCGCAGAAGACAAAGGCAGCTGCTGAACTCAATGGTGGTGTCCGAAATCTTCGGTCAGTTCTGCTGTGGTATCCTAAAGCAATCAGCTGTTTGCTCACAGTTCCCCCAAAATAGCATCCATCAGCAGAGAACGGGTGCAATCTCATCACTGTCTATGTGATGTGTCAAATCAATGCATATTTATGCACCTGTGTAAGGCAAATACACGTATGTGCTGTTGGAGAACCTAAATCTGCTCACTAATGCTGTTGTTTAAATAGCCCTTTAACCACATCACTTTTCTCCTCGTTAGGTTAAGTTGCTAGAGGTGAAAAAGCCCTTCCAAAATGGTTTTCACTCACTCACTCAGTCCAAAGTAAACATGCCTCTGGGACCATTATGTGTATCAGATATCCGAGGCTTTGTTAAGAGCTTGCCTGTTAGGTAAATTCTGCTTCTCTTTCTCCTCGGAAGGAGAAGGTTAAAATTAGAGATAGGCTTACATGAGTACGGCAGAACAGCACCATGCGTTACAGATGCATTGGAATAACAGGTGAAATTCAGAGCAGTGCACACAAGTGACCCAAGTCTCGGGGAGGCTCTTGATCTAACATAACTCTGGTTACAATATGACATTGGCTTGACTTCTGCCTGCCACTTGCAGTCACATTTGTCACAGATCTCACAGTGGCCGAGAACCTGGCATTTTCACCAGCAGTCAGTGAAGCCACCATATAAAGCCACAAGAGCAAGCACGAGCCCTTGCTAGCAATAAACACAGGGGGACTCTGCATTTATAGCATGTCACGGAAAATCCTCAAGCCATATCCCCACATGTCTGGAGGAGCTCGTGGTTTTCAGCCAGATGGACTTTCCTCGAGTCTCACCTCGCAATACAATCACATCTACTTCTTAAAGGCAAGTTTTGCGGGATAACAGCCACTTCAAATCAGCTCATCTAGACATCACCCACAACTGACAACAGTGAAGAGGAGCCTTTCCATTGATTGCACCAAGGTTTGGACTGGGTCTGCAACCAGGACATTTTCCCAGTGCAGCCATTAGCTGTTCAGCTGATCTAAACCTGTCAAGGAGAATAAAGCAACCACCTGCATCCAGTGACAGAAAAAGTAAAGTGAGATCAAACACTAGCAGGAGGAGGGAATTTAAGCAATGCGAAAGGTGGTTGCATGTCATTTCAGAAGTCACCTTTTGTCTTTGATCTGTGCTTAGGAAGTGGGCACCTCCTGGATCAGATGGTCATTAGAGAAGTGTGCCACCGAAGTCATCCCACCTTGAAGTCTCAAGTGTTTGCTTTCCCTGGGGATCCTCCTCCTACTTCCGTCACCGTGTAAATCATCTGCCCTGAGATTTCCTTTAGAAAAGCCAATTAATACAGGTTAGGGAGCAGGGACCAGGACTCGTGTCCTCCTCTAATGCTTCACTGTGGTGAAGCTGAGACTGCTTCTTTATAACTGTATTATACACGCACAGGTAGGTCCTCTAAAGATCAGAGGAGAGTTATTATAAAAGCTGTTTTGCCAACAAAAAAAAGCCCTGGCCCTGAAGAGCTTACAGTCTGAACACACAAGGCAGATAAAGGACTTTGACTTGAAGGATTTTAAAGACGAAGCACTCAGAGACAAAGCAAGCTGCAGATCACACACAAAATCTGCGGCAAAACTGTGGATAAATCCCACTTTGCTGAATTCTCACTGCTGCTCCTAACAGCTCCTTGGAGCGCTGCCTGGTTATTGCTAACAAAGCATTTGTTTTAGCAGCACATTTTGGGGAAATAAAATACTGTGCAGTTTTAATGCGGCAAGCACATGCAGCTACTTTCTAAAAGCAGATTTACAGCAGATGTGCAGGCAGATATTTGCCAACCCTGAGCATGCAATAAAATAAACCCTTTGCATTTAGTTTGTTGATACCTTTGGTGACTGTTAACAAGAGGCAAAATCATGGGGAAGTGAGAGCCTGGTCTCAGGTTACTCCATAAATTGGTTAAGGCTGCAGAGAGGATTACAGTCCCAGAGCCATCCTAAGTACTGAGATGCCATTACGGCAAAATCAAAGGTAACCATGGGGCTTGGCAGGTAACTGTCAACAGCCACGGGAAAGAGCCAGCCCGGGAAGGAGCTCTGCGTCAGGATGAAATTCAGTCACCTTTATTTTCATTTCAGGTGAGGGGTCAAGCAGAAAAGCTATCCCCAGCGGCCTTTATTTACAGTTTTCAAGGGAGCGGCCGATGAAGCATTTAGAGGAAGAAGGATGAACCCGCTCACTCAAGGAGACCAGCCTGATGACAGACGGAGGATGCTGTAATGGCACAAGAGCTGGGAAGATGCCTTTTATGAATGAAACGCAGGAGGCGGCAGTGGCCCTCATGAAGTCGTTAACAAAACTCCCAGTTACTTGAACAGTGCTAGGACTTAACCTGTAATGTTTGCAGGGAGACTAGATCTTCCCATCAGGCCACTTCTTTCCGCAGCGTAGGAGCTCACTGCCAGCAGTGATAACAGCAGCAACACTCCACAAGCAGATTTCAAGTCATTTCTTCAACCTGAGTTTTCTTTTACATTTCTTCTCTCCATCCTACTTAGGCAACCAATTTGAATTTCTAGAAAACCACAACACATTCTTTTTTTTTTTTTCTCCTAAACATGTAGACAATTTGCTATAAAAATTTTGTGAGGTTTTTGTGTTTCTCTAGATCTCCTGTTGATGAATGAATATGAATACTATAAATGAGTTTCTGTTGTCGAGTCAGAGTAGATATATCCATGCTGGAAAAAATACCAGGGATCATTCTTTGGCCCTGAGCTCACATCCACTCAGCCCAGCCAGCACTCCCTATAGCAGACCGGTCCCATGGAAACTGCCCACTGGGAAGTTAATAACCTCTGAGCCATGCCTGGACATGGAAGAGTACTGTTAACCCCAAAACATGCCTGGTCCACACTAATAATTTAAATTTATGGAGTACAGCAGGTCACTGGCTGGGCCCACAACCTGGCCCTGTTTAACGCAGAAGTGGAAATATAGCCAGTGTGTACGCACTGGGCATCCAGTATTTTTCTATGTCGCTATCAAGTATACAGGAGATGACTTGCAAGGGAATTTTAAGACCTTGCAGCTTCAAGCTGACCAGTACGGGTGGGCAAATGGTGATAGCACGCTGCAAGGACACTGCAAGACACAGCCCCATCTCCTCCACAGACCGCAGGCTGCAGCAACGCAAGGACCCAAATGCCTCCTGCCATGCCCAGAAATCTCCACCCAGGACAAGAAAAAGAAAACAGAAGGCAAAATTTCTCCGTTTGCACTCAGATATAGGAAACCTTCCTTCACCCTCACTCTTCTTTAAAGACCTAAACCCTACCAGTAGCCAGTTTTGCAAGGGTTAACCGGCATGAAATGAATGTGGAGAGACAGTCCGGGACCGTAATCACTTATTATTTTCAGGTAATATGCTTTATCTCTGACTAATCTCCTCATCTGCAGAAACACTCACTGCAGACAAGAGTCACCGAGGTTATCTCTGATGATGGGTCTCTACGGACTACTGGCTGCGAGGGACTGAGGAGAGGCCAAGGAGAGGACTTCAATTATGGCCTGAACTATGCTCTGGTAGCTGAAAGGCCATTGTTTAATCTACTAGAAATCATCTATTTTAGCAGATAAAGGGATTACTTGGGTTTTCTTTTCCCCAAGAACAGCGTGTTATTCCAACTACTAATGGAACATTCAGTATTTAATTAAAGAAAAAGCACAGGGAGAAGCAACACGAGCATCAACATCACTTCTGGGGAAATTCAAATTGATTGTCACCCTTTGATGCTGCTCAATCACCTCTATCTCACTCACCCTTCCTACAGCCCAGATTAAATCATCTCGTTCTCTCCCTCCTGCACATTTGATGATTATTTTTTTTTAGGGATCTCATCCAAAATTGGGCCTACGCAATGTGAATTCACCACTCCACAGAAACCTCCTGATACGTAAAGAGCAAGATTACCTGTCAAGAGGAGAATGTGAAATTCGAGTTGGATTTTGCCTCTTCTTCTGCATGTTCTGGTGCTGGATGCTTTCTGGCAGGGCTCTGTCTGCCTGGCCCATTAGAGTGGTCTGGTGTCATAGGTCCAGTGCTTGGAAACTCAAAGTGGGTCCATTGCTTAAGTATGAACTTGAAACTGCTGCATGCATAAATCTTCTGTTTGGCCCTTTTGTCTCTCAGTTCCCATGTCTTTGCCATCTCCATTTTCAGAGAGGTTTGCCCTTTCTCTTTTTCCTGCAGACTAAAGACCATAGAGGACAGTTACAACTCATTCTCAAATGCTCCACAGTGTTCAGCAAATACAGACTCATTTTCTCATGGCATCCACCCCCTGAGGTTCAGACTGCAGACTCAAAGGGTCTATAAAGGAAGATTAGGAAGTAGCAGCTTACAGAGGGAGGTGTGAATTCAGTACGTAGGGGTGCACACCTGTGTTGAGAAATTTGTAAAGAAAAAAAAAATCAAAATGAAAACAAATAATCTAGTTTCTCCTACCATCAGCATCTTAATCCTTTTCCCTTTACCAAAACAAAGAACAGGGTACCTTGACAGTGATTTTCCAGCTAGCCAGCAGCCAGAGTTTCCTCAAATAGATGACTGTCCCTTTTGTAAATCTTACTGCTGACTGTCCCATTTCTAACATCGTCTCACAATCTGTAACACTTCATTGCAAACACCAGCTGTCTTTTTCTGTTTTGCCTTCCTGGCCATCTGTTTCTTTGCACATAGAGCAAGGACAGGGACCTACTGAGTAGCCTAGTTTTTGCTTTCATAATTTGTCTGTACCTTTTCATGACTGTTTCAGATGACCTGTGCCCATGTGCACCAGCTACATCCTCCTTCAGATCTCTATAGAGGGATCTGTTGCCATCCTGTGTGGTGAAATTTCTCAGATAAATAAGGCGGTCCATCTTGTCCACCCTGCTGCTACCTGCCCGTTTAGTTCTCATCCTTTCTCCTTTTCCTCCTGGTCTTCATCTGTCCCACGCCAATGTTTGATCTGCATCATTCATCATCAGACTCAGCAACCCGACTTGGCACATCTGGTGAACTGGCACCACCACTGAAGATGTGATCATTCTCAGGCTCTTGATCTCCTTGTCAGACTTTGCCCAAAGTCTTTGGTGACTATAACTCCATCCTTCACTTTCTACAGGCAGCTCCAGAAGTTGCTGCAAATTATCAAGTCACCCTGTCTGTTACCAGTCATTGTGTTGAACCAGTTGCTCAGCTTGCTCTTGACCAGGACTGCTGACCTCACCTCTTCATAATGTTTTTCAGCAGCTTCTTACACATATCATATAGCCCTAGGACACTCCACACACCTATTGCAACACACTGGGTCAAATGACTTTTAGAAATTGTGCAACTGAACTTCTTGATATCTCTGAACTTGCCAATGACCAGCCTCTTGCACTGGTTTTGCTGTACTGTCCCTCTCGCTTTGTAGAAACTGAATCCACCTTCTAAATCCTCCAGCAAGGAACACAGTGAGGAATTTGCTTAGGTACCAGGAAATGCACAGAATCAGGAAGGTCACCATTGTGGGAATTTGCTGACTAGGATCCATTTTTCCTTGTTCAGGAGATCTTTTCTTTCCTTATAACATACAGTTGCCTGGTTGGGTCAATGACCCATGCTACAGCCCCATCCATCCATTCTCAGCCCCTCAGATTTCTTCAGTCTCCTGACCCTTCTTTGCAACTTCTGCCAGCAAGATTCTTCTTGTCATCCTGCTCCTGAAGCGTTATAATCTCCCAAACACTGAGAATCTCTTCATCTCTTGATCGGTCATCTGTAAAGACTCTGGTAACATTTCACCCATCTCTTCAGCCTGTCCTTTTCCGAAAGCAGGGGGCTCTCCTCATTATTTAATGTTGTGTCGAGTACACTTGTTCTTCTTCCTTAGCATCTATTATAAGAGGCCATCTTGATTTGGACTTTCACAAGAATGTTTTAAGGCTGCCTTGCTTTTTAAACCAATTTTCTTTGACTGACCTTGCTATCTGACTTTTTCCCAGCTCTGGGTATGCCTGCCGAGAGTATTCATCTATGCATTCTGCTTATCACTGGCCAGGTGGAGAATGTCTTCCAACACCTAGGCTCAGTGGCTGCCTGCCTTCTTTCTCACCAAGCCATTTTAAATAAATGTTGTTGAGACAGATGATGAGGTTATGACTGCAGAAGACCACTGCTGCAGGGGATAGCCACTGCTTGCTCTTCCTCTAATTGCTAATTTTGGTCTTCCTAAATGCCAGTCATAGCTTTTCAGCTCTGTTGCCTGTTTAGTTTGCACTTGCAGCTATTTTTGCATATGTAGAGCCTGTGGAGCCTCATGAAAGCCTGTAGGCACTTGCCATATTTGCTCCTGGTTAGTATTGTCTTTGCCAATCTTTGGCATGTGCCAATCAGTCACGAACATCAGTCACTGGGTACATGAATGGTTCACTCCCAAGGTACGGCTTAGGCATGCCTTGACTGGTAGCAAAATCACCTGAAATTCTTCAAAGAAGTCAAGGAAATTCTTCCTCAGTATCTGTCATAGGAGCCCATATGTCTATAAGCACTACAGAACCTGTTTCACAGACCTAAACTGAAGGGCTGATTTCTGAAAGGCGACAAATCGTGAGTTCACCA